AATAAATGAATAATATTATTTCATGCCAAGATTTCTGCCTGTCATTTGTGTGGGATAATCTAGTCTAACCTTCCTAACCTCCCTAATGTGCTGTCTTGACATCTAGGATAGCACCACACAAAGCTATTGGCACATTGGCCAGTTCAGTCTCCTGATTAAGAGTATCCCAAACAGGAGTAGCATTTAATCTATTCCTATTAAACTAACAATGATATTCTTCACAGAACTAGAAAAACTACTTTAAAAATCATATGGAACCAAAAAGAGCCAGAATAGACAAGGCAATCCTAAGCAAAAAGAACAAAGCTGGAGGCATCACACTACCCAATTTCAAACTATACTACAGGGCTATAGTAACAAAGACAGCATGGTACTGCTACAAAAACAGACACATAGACCAATGGAACAGAATAGAAAGCCCAGAAATAGGGACACACTCCTACGATTATCTGATCTTTGACAAAGCTGACAAAAACAAGCAATAGAGAAAGGACTCCCTGTTCAATAAATGGTGCTGGAATAACTGCAGGCCATATGCATAAAATTGAAACTGGACCCCTTCTTCATACGCTATGCAAAAACTAACTCAAGATAGATTGAAGACACTGAGACCTCACAAGCCTCTTGGTAAGCCAGTGCTAGAGATGTGCCCCATATATAGATAAGAAACATCATGTATCTATCTATCTATCTACATACATACATAAATATATATATATATATCTTATAGATAAGAAAACTCAAATTCAGAGACATTGAGAAACATGTCCACATAAGAAGTTAAAGATCAGTGAGACATACATAAACTGGGAAACGGTGGCAAACATCACAGTTACTGCAAAACTTAGACTTAATGAAAGAGTATGATAGTGAAAGAACACAGATTTGGAGTCAAATAGACCTGTTAGAACCCTGGTTCAGTTACTATCTGCATGATTGTCCATGATTAACATGTTTGAGTCTCAGTTTTCTTATCTCTAAAATTGGGATAATGCCTGCATTATCTATTGCTGCATAACAAACAAACCCTAAAACAACAAACATCTATTATCTCATAAATTCCTCGGGTTGGGAATCCTGGTGTGGCCTAGCTGGGGGCCTCTAGCTCAAGGTCGCTCACTGAGATTACAGTTAGGATGTCAGCCTCATCTGAAGGCTCACTTTGGGGACAATCATTTCCAAACCGACTTGTGTGGTTGTGGTTGGCAGGGCTCAGTTTTTGTTTTTGTTTTTTGTTTTGTTTTGTTTTGAGACAGAGTCTTGCTCTATCACCCAGGCTGGACTGCTATGGCGTGATCTCGGCTCACTACAACCTCTGCCTCCCGGGTTCAAGCAATTCTCCTGCTTCAGCCTCCCGAGTAGCTAGGACTACAGGCATGTGCCACCATGCCCGGCTAATTTTTTTGTATTTTTTTTAGTAGAGACTGGATTTCACCATGTTAGCCAGGATGGTCTCGATCTCCTGACCTCATGGTCTGCCTGCCTCGGCCTCCTAAAGTGCTGGGATTACAAACGTGAGCCACCATGCCCAGCCCGGACTCAGTTCTTAGCCAGCTGTTGGACTGAGGATCTCAGAGGCCTTTGTCAGTTTCCTACCACAGGGCAGCTCATGCCATATCATTTGGCTGCTTTCAGAGCAACCAAGCTAGAGGGTGAGAAAGGGCTCCCAAGAAAGCAAGCCAGTCTTTGTGTAACCTAATGTCAGAAGCTTCAGCCTTGCATTTCTCCCATTTCCTATTCATTTGTAGTGAGTCACTAAATCCAAACCAAACTCAAAGGGAAAGTTTACAGGAGGGCATGGATACCAGGAGGCAAGGACCAATGTGAGTCATTGTGGCTGCCTACCACAATGTCTTTAACTGAAGAGTTAAAAAATAGAACAATATTTAAGTAAAGCATCCTGTGTATAGTAGGAGCTTAATAAATAACAAATATTAGTGAATTAAAACATCCAGCAAAGAATCCTAACTTCAAAGCCACAAATTTGTACCTCCCCAAGAAGGCTTGATAAACCCTAAATTATCTAAAGTTATCTAAAGGTGTTACTGTTTGATCACCAAGATGGATGTGCTTAATTATATTTCAGAATAAGTTTCAGCTAATGGAACAGAGATTTTTAAAATGTGTACTTAACATATGAGAACGAGAAAAATCATAGGGAAAGGGCAGGTGTTCCTAGTTGCTAGGAGATCAAAATCCCTATAGAGATTAGTCATTTTGAAGGCAATGCTTAATAATAACACTTATTTTTAATTGCAGTATTAGTGAAAACCATCAGGTGCCTAAAGTGCTGAGACTGGATGCTGCAGCACTTATATTTCTCAGAAATAACATTAAGAAGACTTAGTTTTTGATGAAGGACATTGATTCCTGAAATGCAATCCTCTGACAACTCTGAGGCTCCTACTAAGAGTTAAATTATTTGGTTCTACATTTGATCTAACATATATATCATGTGTTGGGATTATTTCTCTACACGATTGTTTCCCTGACAAGGCATACACTTGTCCAACAGACTATTTTGAGTGCAGGGTCCCTGTTTTAGTTTTATTTACATCCCCAAGTCCTAGCACAGTGCCTGCACATAGAAGCCACTCGAGAAATGTTGGTTAAAAGTTGCTGATTTTAGTCCCATTTCTTCCCCTTTTAAAAATAATTCAGATTAAGATGCTTAGCACTCATGGTCTCATAAGGCATTTTTGTTTTTACTATATTAGGTGAGATTCAGTAACTTTTTTTTTTTTTTTTTTTAGATAGGATCTCACTTTGTCTCCAGGCTGGAGTGCAGTGGCGCGATCTTGGCTCACTGTAGCCTTGACCTTCTAAGTTCAAGTGATCCTCCTTCCTCAGCCCCTTAAGTCGTTGGGACTACAAGTGCGCGCTATCATGCCCAGCTAATTTTTGTATTTTCTGTAGTAACGGGGTTTCTCCATGTTGCCCAGGCTGGTCTTGAACTCCTGAGCTCAAGGGACCCGCCCACCTTGGCCTCCCAAAGTGCTGTGATTACAGGCATGAGCCACCGCACTCAGCTTCAGGAAGTTTTGAAAACATTCATTTGAAGATCTGAAAATAAATCCGTCATAAAAATCCAATTCTTTAAAACTTACCCGATATAGCTTTTTTTTTTTTTGAGATGGAGTCTCGCTCTGTCACCAGGCTGGAGTGCTGTGGCACGATCTCAGCTCACTGCAACCTCCAACTCCCTGGTTCAAGCAATTCTCCTGCCTCAGCCTCCCGAGTAGCTGGAATTCCAGGCATGCACCACCACGCCCAGCTAATTTTTGTATTTTTAGTAGAGACGGGGTTTCACCATGTTGCCCAGGCTGGTCTTGAACTCCTGAGCTCAAGGGACCCGCCCACCTTGGCCTCCCAAAGTGCTGTGATTACAGGCATGAGCCACCGCACTCAGCTTCAGGAAGTTTTGAAAACATTCATTTGAAGATCTGAAAATAAATCCGTCATAAAAATCCAATTCTTTAAAACTTACCCGATATAGCTTTTTTTTTTTTTGAGATGGAGTCTCGCTCTGTCACCAGGCTGGAGTGCTGTGGCACGATCTCAGCTCACTGCAACCTCCAACTCCCTGGTTCATGCCATTCTCCTGCCTCAGCCTCCCGAGTAGCTGGGACTACAGGTGCCCGCCACCACATCCAGCTAATTTTTTGTATTTTTAGTAGAGATGGGGTTTCACTGTGTTAGCCAGGATGGTCTCGATCTCCTGACCTTGTGATCTGCCTACCTCAGCCTCCCAAAGTGCTGGGATTACAGGCGTGAGTCACCGTTCCTGGCCTTCTATTCTTTAAAACAGTAAATTGGTGATTATGACAATATAACAAAGTAGATTTCTTTAAAAGTGAATATTGAATACAGATAAAATACACTGTCTAGGAAGGAAAAAATGGCCATGAATGTGAATTTTCCAAGATGAAAAAAAGGACTTTCATTCAAGTTCAAGAATCTGTTGTCATGAATCAATCATGTCAGTTCTATATTTCTGCTAAAATGTTAGGTGATTTCTTGCTAAGTTTCTGACTTTCCCTGTCAGTGAGTTCAGACTTCTTGATTTCACTCCCCATTTGCCGACAGATGCTGTGTTTCGAGCTGGAGCAAAGGTTTCTTTTCAGCATTGTGGCAGAGAGTGGTGGATTTTAACCCATTTCTCTTCATTCCTGCTGCATGTGTTTCTCCTTTGTCCTGCCACTCTTGTCGTTTAACCCTTATCTTTCCTCTACTTTTCTCGTTTCCTAGCCTCTCCCTTTCTTCTATCTGATCTTCTTTCTCTTCACTTTGTACTTTTACCCCCACCCCCATCTTTCTTTTTCTCTTCACTCCCCATCTATATTCACCACCTGCTCTATTTTATAATGCACTTTTCTTTTTACTCATTCATTATTGAGTCCTTTTTTCTTGCCAGTCCTGCTTCAGCTGGTCGTCATCATTTTTCAAAGTCTGTGCTTAAAAGAACATGTCAGAATGTGTGTGCGTGCGTGCATGTGTGTGTGGTGTTGGAGGAGGGCAGGTAGGAAAGAAGAGACAATAGTTAGTGTTTATTACCACTTCATATTTTCCTATTTCAATAATTTGAGCATTGGCTGTTAAGAAGAAAGCTTGCCTCCCCTTCTGTCTGCCCATCATCATGTTTCCAGTTCTGATCCCACTCTTTTTAAAATGGCATTAATTTATGGCATTTAGAGCTAGAGACAATACATGGAGGGCATCACATCAGAGCACTTAGTAAAATAAACTGGACTGAGAGAAAGGAGTATACTACTTATGCCCTTGGAGATGATTCCTCAGAATAAAGTGGAAAAGACAGGCAAGAAAGAACAAGAGGACAAGCTAAATTGGACTTGGTGCAACACAGAAGAGGCAAAGCCATCACATTCCAATTACCACTCTAGAACTAGTGAACTTACAGAAACTGCCCCAAGCCAAGAAATATCCCACGGGTGAGCACTGAACACATTAGTGCATGGAGGATATACATTATAAACAAGGAGTCATTTTCCATCTTATTATTTTAATCAGTTTGTCAAAAAATCTGAACATGTGTACATAAACATTTGATTTGTTAAAATAATCTGTAGCATAGAAATCCCTGAGACACTTTCAAAAATGACATCTTGACATGTATTCAATGCAAGTATTCACCAAACTAAATACCAAGGACTTGGCTCCTTTCCCTGATATCTGAGGCATATAATGCTTTAAAAAAATATATAGTATACTATATATGTAATTTACATCTTTGAAGCTAAATCATATTTTCTTTCTCTGATTCCTGGTTTTCTACCAGTTTACTGCTCCTGCATATTGTCAGTTCCAGACTGTAAGGAAGCCACACTGGAAAGCAGATTAGCACTTTCAACCTTAGGGTGCCAGTTAGTAGAATGACAGCAAGTGGAACTAGGAGGTCCCAAGAGATGATTTTGTCTAACCCATTCATTTTGCAGTTCAGGTGACAGAGGCTCAAAGGGATTGTGATTTGCACAAGCATGGCTGGTTCTGCCACTGCTACTGTAATCTTATGCACATCCTTCAGTGGGCCTGGACCTTGGCTCCTTCCCCGGTAAAACGGACTGATGGTAATCACAGCGAATATTTTCCAGGTGCTTCCTACATGCCAGGCACTATCCTGAGTACTTCAAGTGTCTAATCTATCCTCTCAACACCTCCATAAATTATATATGCAAAGTGTGAAATATTTACTCTCTGGAAAAACGTTTGCCAATCCCTGGTTTAGATCCTTGAAAATTTAGAACATCTTATAATTATATAGCACTTTACAATATACAAAGCACGTTGGCATACGTCATCAATCTTTGTTTTGTAGGGGGATGGGCATTCATGCATTATAAAGGAGAAAGCTGAAACTCAAAAGAGTTTAAATAACTTGCTTCATCAAGGCCACAGAGTCACATACCCAGGTTCTGACTCCAAATTGCACGCTCTTTATGTGAAACCCCCCTCTCTCCCCTGAATTACTGCTAGGGAAAGACTTGGAAACTGGAAAGAACTTGTGAATACTGAAAGCAAGTCAGACTGTCTCCTGATACAAATGTCATTCCAGGTGCATTCATGTAATTAGAGTCATCAAGTACTAAAAATACTAAATTTGTCATAAATTTGAGGGAAAAGCCTTAAAGTAGGATATGACAATCATAGGAAAGGCATTCTGAAATACATACAGTGCACTGATATGCATTTTTCTTAAGGTATGTTAGAGCTGAACCTACTCAATTTAATATATGCAAAATAAAATGAGCAATTGCCACATTTATCTTACTCTCTGATGAGATTAGTGTTAACACATTTTTCCATATTAACAACGTGTATGTGAGTAAAAATGCAATGGCTGGGCACGCTGGCTCACACCTGTAATCCCAGCACTTTGAGAGGCTGAGGCAGGCAGATCACAAGGTCAAGAGTTTAAGACCAGCCTGCCCAACATGGTGAAACTCAGTCTCTACTAAAAATACAAAAAATTGGCTGGGCATGGTGGCGAGTGCCTGTAGTCTCAGCTGCTCGGGAGGCTGAGGCAAGAGAATCGCTTGAACCCAGGAGGCGGAGGTTGCAGTGAGCCGAGATCATGCCACTGCACTCCAGCCGGGGTGACAGTGAGAGACTCCGTCTCAAAAATAAATAAATAAATAAAATGCAATTATACCTTCCTCATGCTAAATATTCCATAAATAATATGGTTAGTTCTAAATGGACTTAATACTAAAAAAATTGGTAAAATAAATGATACTAATTTAACTATAGAGCTTGACAAAAACAAACAAACAAAATATATTCAAAGAAAGCCTAGGTGCTTCTTCCTAGTTTGCAAGTCCAGCTTAATCTAAATGGTAATCATGATTCTTGAAATATGGCTTAGCTTTAGGGACTCATTTAAAATACATGATATGAGGCACCATCCTTTTTATTTTAGATTTATTGTACAACATACCTTGAGATATAATTTTAGACCTATAAATGGTAAGAGGATATCCTGAAATCAATGCAAGCAAAGAAGGAAGATATAAAATCATCAGTTGGGTGCCTGCTATTTTAGGTACTTTCACTTCCTAAAGTGCTCAAAATGAGCTTGTGAAGTATTTTCCTCAGTCATTTTACAGATGAGGAAGCTGAGGCTCAGGGCTACTACGAATTTACCCAATGTCACATAGCTGGAATTCAAATCTAAACTACATTACCTTCAAAACCTGAACTCTTTCCCACTGCCCCATGTAGAATCCCAGGAATATCAAGATCACTGACTGTTATCTCATAAAAACTCATTTTAAGAACTGAACTTTTATCTTTATTCGGTGGCTGGCACTTTGTAATTGTAATTCTGCCCTCACTATAAAACTTCAATGGGGACATTTTCTCCAAAGCTTTTCATTTCTCCTCTCAAGAAAGTGAACTGAAGCACCTAGATTTAAGTGAATTTTTCAAGTATGTCTGCAAAAACATGTACAGAGAGGTAAAACTTGCTTTTTGATTCAGTTAATTGCACTAATCAAATGTAAAATGACTATTTACAGCAGAACTCTGTATAAAACTAGTTAATCTTGACCCTATCCACAATAATTAGTCACTGAGGGTCCTTATTCTAATAAGCGGAGGAGAAAACTCCCATTATTTCAGGCTTTAAGTCAACTAGCTTTCTCATATTGATTTATGGTATCATTAAGACTGTCACAGTAATCAAACAGGTTCTGCCAATTGTTTTATCAGTCATGTTTACTTTTTGGAAGTGACAGATAATAAGCGCCCTAAAGAGAAGAACTTTGCCTTGTATAATTCTCTGTCTTCCCTAGGGCCTCAAGCTCAGTGTTTGGCACAGAGTAGTTATGTAGTGGCACCTGCTGAATATGCTGCTTACTCAGTAACTTTGTCAAATCAATGCACGTATGTTCAAGATTGGTTCCACAGCACAGTCCCAAGGGCACTGGAAATGTGAGGATATGCTATACCACTACGTTGACTACGAGGGGAACCTGCTGGCACCAGGGAGAAGTGCAGATTTAGCCTTTAACAAGAGACAAGAGTAAGTTAATAGTAGGCACTAATGTAACTCCGAGGATCTAAACATTTAACTAAAAACTGACAGAGATAAAACTGCCACTAACAGACATCATGAAACTTTTTTTTCTTTTATATGATTGCATAATGTAGTGCAATACCTTTCATTGTTCTGCAGAGAGTAATGCCAGCACTCCTGCAGGACTGGCATTACAGTTTAAATTTCAGGTCCAGTAAAGACATGAAATAAATAATTGTGTGGAACTGACACTGTGGCTTCCTTCTCTTCTGTCTGTAAACACAGACTGGTTTTCTGGGAAGAGGGAAGAAGGTTGCTTCTGCTTTATTTTCACATCTGTAATTTTAATATGCCTTTAAAAAATCCAGGTTATGGAAAAACAGAAAGACAGAAGAAACATTAGGAGATGCTTATTCACATTGTAAAGGGATAAATTCTCCATAGGGTTTCATTAAATACTGAACTCCCCTAAGTCAGTGAATTTGGGATTTGATTTAAATGCAGCTTTTCAGGAATACATTTCTTATGTAAAGTGAGGTGCACCCATGTATTCATCTTAACTCTCCTCCAAGGACAATCCTGCTTCCATTCACAGGACGGGAACAGATAGTACTTTATTAAAGAAGTCAGCGGCCCCTCTTGGACGGCTCTCCTCACCTTTCTCAGGAGCCAAGGCTGTGAGGAATCCAAACAACAAAGACCCACCTGCAGCCACAGTCCTTCCACTCTCCACCAACAAGGCTCCTTCTACAACCAGAAATTTGCTTCACCTCGGTCCAGAAAAATGTGAATCGGTAACAGTGTGTATGAGATTTGGAGGCTGCACGGGCCACAAATCCGGCCTATGGCAGACGGGGAAATTCAGAGAAACCGCCTCAACGGCTTCTCGCAGCTAAGCTATTTCATTTCTGCACTGGTTACAAGGTGAAGAAGAGCCCCCCCTTCACCCCTAAACAATGATGCTCATCAACAGCAAAGGGGGCCCAATTGCTAGCTGTGCAAAAAATATGGAAACCGGGCCCCCATCTCTGTGCCGAGTAACATTCATTGGTAAAATCGCCTTTTTCCCATAGAGCAAAAATAGGTGTTTGAAGAACTTACTCCCAGGATTCGGCAGTCAAGGAGATGCACAGTAGAGGACCAAAAGGTAACAACTTGGCCTCCCCTGGGTCACTTCCAGCGGAGGGCCGCTTCACCGCTCAAACCAGCTGGCCAAGTTGCGTATGCTCTTGGGCCGGTCCCCAGCCCTCTGGACAGCCTGGCAGACCCGGCACCAAGGCTCGTCCCAGAAGGAGGTGATGTGGACAGCGTACCTCCGGCGCCAGTGGAAGTAGCGGCGATAGACTGCGGGGTTGCGGTCTAGGAAAAGCAGGTACGAGGCCAGGGAGGAGGCACTTGGGAAGTCGTCCACATGGATGAAGGCGCCGCGGGGCATGAAGCGCTCATAGTTGGCACGGTCGGGGCCCAGCACCACCGGCACTGCCCCAGCGAGCAACGAGTTGCGCCAGAGCTTCTCGGTGATATAATCCAGGTGCTGCGAGTTCTCAAAAGCCAGGTAGAACTTGTAGCGGGCCACTGTGTGCAGGAGCCCAATTTCGGGCACCGGCTGCCCGGGCCCGCCCCGGCCGAACACGTCCACGGCCACGTGTTGGCTCAGCTGGTGGTAGTAGCGAACCCGGGCCTGGCGCTCGTCCCAGTGGCTCACCACCCATGCCACCAGCCCCTGTTTCCGGGACAGTGGCGGGGCCAGGCCTGATGGCTGGTCGCCGGGGTGGCTCCTGGGGTAGAGGTAGCCATAAGGCACGAAGATGTCCGAGTCTGCCCTGTAGGAGAGCGTCCAGTTGAAGAGGTTACTTGCCAGGCTTCGCAGCCCCGGGGAGTGCGAGGGCGACTCGAAGTTCATCCAAACCCAGCGCTGGCCTGGGGGCCTGGGGCTGGAGGTCGCCAGGGCTTCTGCCGCCGCCGCTGCCTCCTCGTCGTCCAACACTCGCAGTTCCACCTCCTCGGCACTGCGCGCCTGGACGCCCCAGGGCGGGGGCCAGTCGGGGGGTCCCTTCACAAGGTCGCGGTGGTGGAAAAGCACGGCCTGAGCCTCTCCGTAGGACGCGCGGTCGGTGAGTAGGCGGCAGCCGCTAATGTTGAAGCGCAGCCGGCAGTCGGGGGGCGGCCTCGCGACGTTG